CGCCTATGTTCCTCATTACTATCGTTGATTTCATAGTGTCAGATCCGAACGACGTTCGGAGTGTATCAAAAAATCGATGCGCCATGGGATACGTTTTACATAAGCTGTAATTGTGAAGACACTGCGATGGCTGTACGGGTTACTGTAAGTAACCTTTATCAAGGCGATTTAACAATCCATTTACAATCGTTCATTTCCCTTCTAATAACGACCCCTATTTTGATTGTGGCATTTTTGTTACGCTTCACATCCGTCTGAGTCCAGATTTTGTACCAAACAAATTAGGGTACATTAATCGTTATGACAATGAAAACGGCCTATTTTCACCTGGACAGAATACGACCACGTTGCTCAGGTCAAAGCAGGTAAATTTTTTTTTTGGGGGGAGGGGGGATTTACAACCTGTTCCTTTGACTAGCCAAAGCCCATTCGCAAGGAAACAGGGTGGTGTGTGGAAAATGCACGCAAAATCCATTGGGTGCCGGTTCCGGTTCTGCTTCTTATTTCAGAGTGAAACGTCTTAAGTACTCAATACGGATCGGTGCCCAATTGAGCTAAAAACCATTGCGAAAATCGAGATATGGCTGTGTTCCATAAACCTCCTCTTGGTTGCTTTGTAATCAGATTTTTAGCCAGTGGTTCGCCCAACCAGTTATACCCCCGGCTGTTGATTTTTCATCCTCACCACTAGAAGGTAATAAGGGAAGGGGCTTCCTCAACGGAGGTTATTTGAGATCCCCCGACCATAGTGCTGCTTTTGGAGGCGTGGTAAAAAGCTGGACTACGGCGAAGCCGCCTCCCACTGAGGCTTTTGAAATTCCATTTCAACCTTTTTGTCAATGAATCCACATTCTTTCGTGGTTGCATCCGCGCCTCTGTAGGCAAATCTTATCAATACACGTAAGCTGTCGGTGTGTTGCACTACTCCAAGTACCGTGGCTTAAGTCGCCGGTGGATTCTCAAGGCCGTGGGGTTTACCTCTTCTACCGTTCATCACAAAACGGTATGTAATAAATTAATTGAATCTGAAAACACGCTCTACTCTGCAGGTTGATTGGTGTTTCGATCGTCCCACGTTATTTGGATCGGGTCTTTCACAACTTTTGTCCAGTCGAAATGTACTGCTTTCTTCATAAACAAGTGACAACACTTCTTGATTGATTTACTGTGTGCGAACGAAAGTTTTAACGAGATGGATTAAGGGTTGACTGATCGAGAACTTTACAACCTCGGACGTTGATCGACTGTGCTTTAGGTGAGTATGAACGAACCCAATGGTTATGGCTCTTGGTCAGTCGGAAAATAAAATGAATTACGGTAATATAGATCGGTGTAAATGTTGAATTAAATCGTTGCATAGGTGGCTACAGCCTCATAACTTCGCGAGGGGAGTTCATTGAGTCGTAGTTATCCTCAGGTTTTACCCCTTCGTTTGAACCAAATACTCCTGCTGATATACTTTTCGTTTTGAAAAACCCAGTGGATAAAATGATACTGGAGTACAGTGAAAATACTTGAGCAATTCACCTGAATATCAAGTCCGAATCTTATATAATTTACTGCCTATCAGAGATAATTTTCATTGCAATTTCCGGATTTTGTGTTGCGTCACACCATGGAGACAAAAAGTAACTGTGCGGTGAACAGATGCTTTAAGAATGGTAAGTGCCAAAAGGAATAAAAGTAATGTAACAGGGAAATGCTATTGCTCTCAAGCCGTTGTCATCGTTCTTGCTAAGGATCCAACGGTCTGTCACCATATTACATAAACACGTAACACGTTTCCATACGCATATGATAACTTTTTCACTTAAAACTTCTCCAAAACAGACGAACAAAGTCGGTTTTGAACTTAATGATTTGAAATGTGGGTAAAAGTGTTCTAATTACAATGTGCTTATAATGTTGGAACCTATTTTACTAGCGCTGTAAGAACATTCTACTATATGTGCTCGATATGCAACAGCTATGGTCTGTTTTTATCACTCATCTGCACTTGGGTGCATTAGCGTATTTCGCTCATCGATCTATGTCATCAGTCTGCCTACACACTGTGCACCTGACAGTCTGCCCACATGTCTGATCGACTATCTAAATTTATCCAACTGAAAGCCCGATTCTGTGTGGTAGCAGCGCATCGATTTACAGAGTGGCATATCTTTATCGTGTACTGCTGACCGGTTTCCCTTGTGGCTTTTGTTGCACTTTGTGTTTGTTGATATGTCGACGTGGCTTCCCCAAAAGCTTGCGCATAATACCAGGACACGCTTTCCGTGGATTCTAAGCGGTAGATGAAAATAAAGATTTTTCCCCCCGTATGCTTTTAACTGAAGCAATCGCTCAGGTATTCTTGCTCCTGCAGATTGTGTCGGGCTTTCGTTTTATCATAAAATGGTCACAATAATGGTAACTAATTGGGCATTTTCCCTTTTTTCATTCATTTCTTCCAGATGCCCATCCCATGTCCAACAGCACTTCTCTGTCTTGGATGAATGATTCAACGTTAATCAGCACAGCTCATGATGGTAGCATACGCCGCTGGAAAGTATCTCCGTAATGTAAGCAATGTGACCATTGTGCCTTCGAATTCCGGCTTTACTGAATCTGTTTTCTCCAACTTCTCAAAGCACCGGAATGGCATTATTTCCGTTGCGTGGACTGGAAGACGCATCTAAGTGTTCGAATTACCAACTCTCCTAATTCTTAATGCTGCAATATTGTCGACAACACTTGCCTTTCTTAATCAATAAACGACTGCTTTTCTCTTTGTGGTGTCACGTCAGTGGCGCGGTTATCGAGATAACCCCCAGATATCCTGTGCTTTAAGGAATCATTTTCAATACGGCGGTAACTGTATTTATACCTACAGTTTTAACGTATTCCGTGTAAGTCTGCTGGGTCCATATGTATTTCTGATGTCTACTTTTCCCCGACATACAGAATTATTCCATCTTGGCGCGCATCAGTACGAGTTTATTCCATTTATTACACCGGAAACTTGCTAGATTTGAGCTGCAATTGAGGTCAGCTGACGTAAAGCCGTTATGGGTCGCCCAAAAATGGGATGGCACATGCTGGTTTCGCCAATAACTTGAAATCTTGTTGCCCGTCCATTTGGCGTTCGGTTAATCTCACTGGTGACTGTCGAGCAATACAGCGGCGGAAAGAAGTGATCGTTGGATCTAGCTTTCAACAAAATCCATTTCAAAGGTCAATAGGGTAAATACCCGTCCTGACGAATGAGTTGGAAAGGAACTAAATACAGGGCGCCTTGTTGTTGGTCTCCCGCACGTGTCTCCCCGGATAGTTCTAAATTTGTAGCACTGATAAAGCAGGTTTTAGAGAAATACCATGCTCGTAGTGCAATATCCAAAACTGTACTTTTCCTAGTTGAGTCTAGTATAACATCTCACGCGAGGTTGTTCGTCGAGGCTTTCTAGACCTCACTATACATTGTTTCGCACATTTCTGCGGTTACTGCATCGGCAAGTTTCCAAATAGAATTCATTCACTTACCGCCAGACAACCCCGATCTGAGAGTACTGAAGGATTTGATTTGGTCTTGTGGTAAATGTCGTTGTGCGCTGAGAAAATAAAGCATGCACGGAAAGCTATGAAGTACTGCTGTTTATACCTATTTGGGTCTAACCCAGGACCTAACAGATCAGACCCGTGATTGGTACTCATTTGACCGTCTAGCAGCTGACTTTGTCTATGCACGATATAACGCAAGTCATTTTTGCAACCCTGTTGCCCTATCACATCTCAGTCACCCAACGGTTGAGGCCCAGAGAAGAAATTGGGAATGAATCGTGAATGATTTTGAAGACATCCCATAATTGATTACAGATGATGTTGATCTTTCGGGATTCGATGTTTCGGTTGGGGCCCGGTCAATATCCTCTGGTACAGACAGTGAATCCTAGGAACTCCAACTCCAACATTTTTTAAAATGTTCTTAAACAGCTGGATACACACATTTTTCTCCAACAATCGCTCAAGAAGTTCCTTTAAATTCTTGTCATAGGCTTCTTTCTTGCTCCAAAAACAATCACATCGTCTTCTGTAGTATCGGATTTCGATTTACTCGGGTGTAAGCAGGATAATGATTCCCCCAGCGTTCCCATTGCCATCAACTCAAGAATAGATGGACTGTTTTTGTGACACCAAGATTCGAATGGGTAGAAACGTTTTGTTGTGGTAATGAATTGCTTAGGTTGTATCATCCAATAGCGGAAGGAGGAGGAGTTATACCATGGATTCCTGTTATGGTCGGTTTCGGGTTAGCATTGGGCATGCCTATTCGAAAGTTCCACGTGAGATGAAGGATTCAGCACTGCCGGTATCCACAATAAAACTGGCAGGCTCCGGATTCGAAAATAATGTCCTCGTAAATGAAGTTTTGGTATTCACCCATTGTTCATAATGTGTAAATCGGGTTGGGTTCCTCTTCACAACAAGATGTACTCCTCACCATGTTGCATTGCCTTCTGAATATGGCCAACTTCACCGCAGGAATGACACTGCATCTGAATGGGTAGTTGGATCATAGATCGAATTCGCCACACGACTTGCACCGAATAATGTTGGTGTTTGGGATCCTTTCGTTAGAGCGGTATAAGAAGGTTACGACTGAATCAAGGGTCGATTCCTTCGTGAATTTCTCTGGAGTAATGCAACTGATTCACGGGTTGGTGGTGTAACGACATCATGCTGCACACATCCTCTGAGCATCGGGAAAGGTCCTTTTCTCAAGGAAATTTCTCTGGAGAGCCATATTGTTATTACGTTAACATCACACAATTGATCCCCCAGCCTGTCCCCATAATTTACACTTGTAAGCCGGTATGTTGAGCAACAGGATGAAATCTCGACTAGGCATTGACTCGGCACGAACCAAAGAATTGAATTTTCCTCTCTAAGCAGTTTGGAGATCAACAGGAATCGCATGGGCATGTAGCAGTTGTTTCTGTATTTGTAATGGTTATTCGGTCGGGTTATTAAGGGACACGAGATTCTTCAGCAGAGAGTGCATTTCCTTTCCACCGACCGAGAGAAATAGTACTGATTGCTCCTGCTTCCCGTTCTGCTCCAGGCTGCACCAGAGCTTTAAACGTTTGACCCATTCTTCGATCTCGGATGAATGTGAATGCAGAATCGATAGTGCTCAACTCTATACCGCGACGCCAATTGTAGTATTCAGAATAGGAATTGGAATCGAATGGAACGAACTCGGATTCGGACTGAAACCTATTGAATGGTGCAAACGCTACAACAATAACAACAGGGGATAGGTGGATTGGGGTGGATAACAGTGAACAGAGGGTGAAACAGTTAAACACGGGAGAAATGGAAGATAACTGGGATAACAAAATTTTTTTGTTTCACCATACATTTCTTGATATTTTTGTGTGTTGTTTGTTGTTTTTACGGGCATGGGATTTCGACAGGCAGACTGTACAGCATTCGCGCCACTGTCTTCTATCCTGGACCATATCTCTCAGCGTCTGTAGCCAACGACAATCCTCATCCCGGCAGGTGCGAAGAGAGCACGGATAGGCAGTCGATGGGCAGGCATACGCAATACGTGACCAAGCCATCGGAGGCGGTGTAGAGCGACTAATTCTGTTAGAGAGCGACTATCCGCACCCAGCACACATCGGAAGACCTCGTCATTGCTCACTGGATGTTCCCACCAGACACGAGCAATTCTTCGGAGACATCAGTGATCGAATACAGATAGTCGATTCGCACCCTCAACGCAGAGAGGCCAGGTCTCGCAACCCTGAAGCAGAACACTACGAACTGCGGCTATGTACACCCTACCCTTAAGGGACAGTGAAATGTGGTGGCGGTACCACAGGTGTCGCAGGTTGGCGAAAGCTGCTCCAGCTTTCGCTATTCCTGATGTGATCTCCTCCCCAACAGCACCATCAGCTGCGATCAAGCTCCCGAGGTACTTAAAGCTCTCAACTCTGTAGCTGATCACCACAGAGTATGTGTTCAATCACAGGCTTCTGCCAGGCTTGAAAAAAACACTTTGTATTTGGACGGCCCAAACCAGATACCGTATCTGGATACCTCGATCGCCAAGCGGTTCAAAGCGTGTTGGACTGCCTGTGTGTTGTCACCCAGCAAAGTGATGTCATCGGCATATTCTAAGTCAGGGATTCTGTTCCCTGGGAGGAGTTTGACTCCACCGTTTGCTAAACCGGATAAAGCATTCTGTCGAACATCCTCTATGATAAAGTTGAAAAGGAATGGGGATATAAGGCTACCTTGTCGAACTCCACTGGAGGCAGCGAAGGGCGGCGAAAGTTGGCCATAGGCCCTAATCCGATCTAAGGTATGACGATGTGACGGTACAACTCATTGATGATCGACACACTTCTCACATACTCCATTCCTCAACAAACAGTTCCATAGTGCGGTCCTATCGACAGAGTCGAAAGCCGCGCGGCTGTCTAAGAATACAGTGATCGTCGGCCTTCGATAAATATGACGGTGCTCTGACAACTGTTGGAGAGTGAAGATTTGATCGATGCATTCACAACCAGCGCGAAACCCGGCCTGCTCCTCACGCGTACATTAGGCGGAGAATGGCGGACGCCAACAGTTTTGACGCTATTGGGAT